TTTACTTAAGAGACCTGTTTCCTAACTATTTGTGTCCTCTTTCTTGAGGAAGTTCTTACTGATTTAGTACAGAGAAGAGTTCTATGGTTAGCTGTGGCAAAAAGACAAGCATACTGGAATTTCTATTGGGAAACTGATGGTTGAAAGTAAGATCAGTGAAACCAACCGACTGGCGGATGGAAGGGCCAAACAGAGGTAAAGCAAATCCTGCAAAGTTCTCCCTTCATGATTAAACGAATCCCTTCTAAACTTCCCAGGAAACAGTGCACACCTTGGCCAAGACTGAAAGGGTGAGTTGCCCAGAAGAACGCAGCACTCTTATTGCCTCTAACTTCACCCCCCCCGCCCCGCCCCGCCCCACCCCACCCCGGGGTCCCATGCAGGACCCCTCCAAGCTACGCAGATGCAAGAGAGCAAGGGTGAGTTTGGCCTCTTTCAACTGATTATTCCTCTGTGAATGCAGTTAATGGGGCTGAAGGGAGACTTGCCGAAGAGAAGACTGATAAGCTTTCTTTAGACTGGGAGAATTCTTTCTGCCACCCTCTCCCTCTCTGTCACTGACCCTGTGGGCTTCCACCAAGTGCCAAGCACCTATGATGCTTTGTTGCACCCTCTCTTCCCTGGTGGTCTGCAGGGAGACACTGTGGGGGGCAATGGGGCTCGTCTCTGGGACGGTTGCTCATGCCCTGAAAGGCGGCAGGGAGCGTGGGAAGCTGCACGGGCATCCATCTCCTGGACAGCAGGAGGCCCGATCATCCACAGCTGCCCTGCTCTGGGGCAGCTCTTGGAGCAGCAGCGGGGTCCAGCTGGCTGGTTGTCTCTGTGCGGCTGCCCCAGGAACAGAACTGCCTCCACTTGATCGCGAGAGGCTGTTCCGGCCTGCTGATTCCCCTGCTCCTGCCCAGGGGCCTCTGAGGGGGACATGCCACAAGCAGGGCAGTGCTGCCCCACTCGGGACAGCCCTGCCCAGTCAGTCAGCAGAGCCGCTGCTCCCGAGGAGCTCTCCAGAGGCAGGAGGGCCTGGGGAGGGCCAGGCTGGGGCAGCTGCAGCTATGCAGTCTGACTAGCTGCTCGGCAAGAGCTGCAACAGCAACTCTGGCCAAATGGCTCGATGGCCAAAACCATGATGGGGCACGCTGTCCCAGTCTGGATGGCCCAGCAAGTAATCGGGGTACGGAGAGACCTTAGAACAGATGGTTGTGTCTGATTGTAGCTGACAACCATGGCAAGCCACAACAGTCATTCACCAGTGCTGGGTCCAGGCAACAGGACCAAGTGATCCAGCTTTTAGTAGCTCTTAGCTTGCATTGTCCAAATCCAGAGCCTCTCCCTGCTGCCTCAGGAAGCAAACTGCTGGGGAGGGATGCAGCTCTGTTGCCAAAGAGTGCAGCGGTCCTCTTGCAGAGAGCTTCTGGAACAAGGCCAAGGGGGCCCTAGGGCAGGGGGCTGGGCCCTTTGGGTGAGACCATGGGGTTTATACCTGCAAGCACACTGGAAGCACCTTTGCTGAGGTTGTGTGCATGGGGGAGGGCACAAGAGGCTGCTTTGGGGTCACCTGGGAGAGGAGGAGGCTAAAACATCCACTCCCTGGGACCCTGGGTGGGGGTGTCACTAATTTCATACTTCCTCCCCCCTCCCAGTGGCCCCAACCTGTGGAGTGGCACATGGGGGCTGCCCACCCTCTGTTGGCAGGGCATAGGTTGTGCATCCCTGACCCAGAGGCTTCATTCCTCAATCCCATATTGCAGGATCCACTTTCTAAAACTTGCAGGGGCATGAAAACTGCCGAGAGATGCTTCTTTGGAATGCTCCTCTTTGGTTTCCATCCCACGAACACAAGAGTTTGCCCAGGGTCATTTAAGAAAGCCACATTCGTATTTCATATCCCAGATCATGCACTAAGGGGAGAGGAAGGATGAGTTGTCTCATAAACACGTCCGCAAGTCCTACACGCCATCACAAGCCACTCCAGCATGCGGTGTCCCAAGAAGGAAAGGCGAGCCAAGTTTCCCCCAAGCCCCCTCCCTCCTCTGGGCTTAGCATGCGCATTCTGTTTGGTTCACCACCATGAACTCCCCAGAAACGCCATTGCCTTTGCTGAATGCAAAGTGGAGCTCCACTCGGGAAGTACCATTGGGCGAGTTGAACAAAATGATACATCATCAGTTGTCTGTGCAGGGAAGGTCACTTTTCCTTCCTTCCATCTGATGATCTGCCAAGTTTATCCTGCAGTATTTACACTTTGATTTGTTTGGATACCCTTCTGCACAATCCTCTGCAAAAGACAAAAGAGAGAACCCCAGGAAGTTTATGTTGTATGGCCAAGCTGGTAGAGTTTATGCTTTAATGTTCCTTTCTAACTTCATTTTGTTTGCATAGAAATTGAAAATGCAAATGGGGGATGGGATGAGTGCAAGGTTGTGTGGATCAATGGAGTGCTAATGGTGAGGACAGGAGCCTGGAGACTTGGCTGAATGGAAATCCGCGCTGGTTTTGTGGAGCAGGACGAATGTAGATGGCAAAATAAGATGCTGCCCCAAAGACTGAAGTTCTACATGCACTTGCGTGTGCATAAGCACAAGGGAACTTACTTCTTGGTAGAGAAGCCATGCAGAGGATTCTGTATTTATACGATTTATAAGTCACCTGATTAGCCATAGGCTCTCTGGGTGGCTTTCAAACAGAGTAAAATCAATGATATGATCTAACAATGGCATCAATAAAATTAACAGTAATAAAAACAAGTAATAAAATTTAAATATATACAATAAATAACTAAATGATAAATTAATGAACTTAGAGGGAATATAAACCAATTATTCAATAATACAACATAGTTCACAACCAAAAAAATCTCCATAAAGTTACAGTTACACAGTTGCACCAACTAAATTGACCATCAAGCCCAAGAGATTCACCCTTTGAAACAAGCATGGAGACAAATTAAGCAGTTTCTCTCTGATATTGGGTGAGATAGATAAATACTGAAATGTCACAAATATTTTCTCTTGTAAGAGCTTGGTGGATGCATTTGTCTTCAGAGCAATGAAAGATATTCACAGCCATTTTTCATACATGGAGAGGTATCTTTCCTCTAAATCATATTCCGAGCTTTAAGGAACTGGATATTTCTTTCTGTATTTTATTTCTCAATTTTATAGACTGCTTTCCACAGACTTAGAGTGGTGAACTTCAAATACAATGGCATGCAACAGTGATGTGCTTCACAAGAAAAATGGCACAATACAATCAGCCATAAAACTTCACACTTTGCTATTTGCTAGAAACCATAGTGGGCAGGACCACCCTTTAGGGAAAGCATCTGTGAAGAGGTGCATTTTCAGAAGACACCTGAGTGTCAGAACCACAGGGCCTGTCAAATGATGGGTGGCAAAACATTCCAGGGGCCAGGTGCTGCCATGCTGAACGCTCAGCTAAAGTGCTCAGGAGCATGTGACATCCTTAGATCCTCGGCCGGCACAGAAGGGATGAGGTGCTTCTCATGGGGACCAGGCAACCAAAATTGCTGAGGGCTTTCTAGGTCAGCAAACACACACCATGGCCTGTAGCTTGTTGGCAGCCAGTGCAGGCCTTTGAGCATGGGCTTAAGCTGCTTTTGGAATGGAGCACCAGTTCACAGCCTCTCTGCAGTATGCGGCCCCAGCTGCAGCTTTGGACCAAGCCCATGGGTGACTGCAAAAATCCGGCCTTAAGGTCAGCTATGCCTGTATCACTGTGGCTAAGCTATCATGGTTTGGGAACAGCTGCAGCAGGCATCTGAGCCGAAACTGGGGAAAGGTTCCTCCAGGCACCAATGCCACGAATGCTGAAAATGAACCTAGGAGCACCCCTGAGTGAGAGCAAGCCCATCCAGGACTGGCAAGGGATCTACTCCCCCAGTGGTGCAACTGATCACTGAGGACATCGGCTTGCGCGTGTACTAAGTTTAGGGACCACAGACTTCATGCAACCCAGTTCTGCAGAAATCTCTTCTTGCTACAACTTCTGCGGAAAGCAAAATACTTGAACTGTTGACCATCTTGTTGCAACTTTAGAACTGCAAGGCCTTTGCTTTCCCACATAGGGCATTGTTTGGGTTCTTTTCTTACCACATGGATTATTTTACTAAAGGGATAATCTAGTGGACTATGTCCTCTAGTCAATAGATTAGAGTCCAATAGATCATCCGGCTTAATAGAATCATCCAGGTAGTCAAAGAATAGTTTCCCCTTCCTCTCGAACTTCTCTGGTGCATCGTGCCTTCAGCGTGCCCAGTAACATAGCCTTGGATCTCATTTTGCTCATTACATTTCTGCGCTCCCACTAGCTGGAGCTGCCTGTGAAATTTACAGAGCTTAAAAATACACGACGAAAACCATATACACACCGCATATAAACATAAAACACAGAGACACACAAGTATCTAAAACACACACACATGAGAGCCGCTGCGGTGTTGTGGTTGGAGTGCCAGACTGGGGAGACCTGGGTTCAAGTCTCCACTCAGCCACAAAGCTCACTGGGTGACTTTGTGCTAGGCACAGTACCTCAGCCCAGCCTCTCTCACAGGGTTGCCGCTGCAAGGATAACATGGAGCTCTGTAAGCTGTCTTGGGTTCTTCACAAGAGGAAAAAAAACCAGGATATAAGTGCAATGTAATGATAGCATCATCTAAATAATCCACAAGATCAATCAAGACCTGATTAAAATGTGGATGATATGAATTAATTTGTATATTGAGTAACTAATGTGAGAATTCTAGCATAGGGTAGGGAATTGGCTAGACTTTTTTGCCGGCTCGTTATTGCCTTTGCCTGCATCACAAAGTGCTTGTCTGCCATCCAACTATGGCATTTCTTACAGTTGTCAAGATTCTCCTGTTTCATTTCCCTGGAACCCTCATCCCGTTTCCTTTTCTCTGGTTTGTTTTGCTTTTCTCCCACGTCAGCCAGTAGACGTATGTGTGGGCTTCTGTTAACACTGGCTGATCTCTTTCCTAGAATTTGAAAGACAGCCGAAGTGCTGATGAAGAGGAAGATTCCTGTAGTGACGCCGAAGAGGAATGTGTGAAGAACGGAAGCAAGAATGGCAGTGGCATGAGCAAGCCGCTTCTCAACAGAAACCATTAGCCCGTGGCCAGCAAGACCTCGCTGTGGTTCCCCTTGCTGCACCCACCACCCAGCCTGCAAGAGAGAGCTCAGCTTCAACATCTTACTTGGAGTCCATGATTAATTTTATTGCTGGTCACCAGAGCTGGAAGACAGCCCAGTTTTGAGAAAGAGTGAAAGTAATGTGCTTAACTCAACAAAATGTGTTTAATCACCCACTTTCTAATATGCTGTTTAGGGGCACATGGCAAGCATGACCCTTTCAACTCATTGAATGCTGAAGGATCTCCAGACCATCTTGGAACATCGTCATTTCCAACTGAGGTTATTTAAATTTGGATAAAAGCTTAAAAAGAGTTGCCAAATCTCTACAAATGTTTTAATGTGATTTGAGAAGTAAGGATTTCGTACAAATGCCATCAAGAAGCTGACTGGTTTTATGTGGGAGAGATCTGTGCTACCAGAATGCCTACCATAAATCATCAACCGTTCTTGTTGGGTTTCAGGCTTTTATCATGGGAAACCTACCTGAGATTACCTTAGGGCAGTGCAGATGACCAGAATCTATTGAGGTTCTTCATAGCATTCTCCTGTTACTTTACAGTGGCAGCTTATGACTGTGTAGACTGCAGGAAAAGCCTTGGTGGACTGGCCAGAGCCCTGTGGACCTTGCATGCCTTCCTCTGGTGTGAGAGTTTGCCAGCCGTGCCACAGAGCCCTTGACCCCAGACCCACAGGGATCGGACACCTATGGTCTTGGCTGTATCCATCCACTTTAAAACCAGTGATTCTGGTGAGCAAGTATTGCCTGTGAGATTCAGGAGGGAAGGGCATCTTCAGGTTTGTCTAGAGTTCTGGAAAACTCAGAGCTGCCCTTGCTTGTTGGCTCATGAAGGCCATTGCAATAGAAACACTGACCTAGCAGTTACAGTTTAATGAGGATTTTGGTTTAGGTTTCAGCTAGCAGCATGGCCAGGTCAGGCAGCTGTTAAGTGGGGAGAGAGTCCAGACATGAGAGGGGAGGGTCAAGCAAGGTGTCCAAGCCCAGGAACACGCTGAGAAGCCCAGGAAGACCTTGCTGCTCGGCCATCTTCCAACCCAAACAGAATATTTTGTGTGTTCAGGAGAGCCCAGTGAGCAGCTTCAGGTGAATGCAGCCTGTCTGAGACTTCAGGATAGTTCCCTGCCATGGAAGAGGGACAGCTGCATGCAGATCGGAGAGCTGCCTCTCCAAGCCTGGGGTGGCCAGGTCACCCGTGCCCCTCTGTCACTTGCAGTTAGGGAAACTGAGGGAAGGCCTTCTCAAGCCTCAAATGATACTGACCCCAGGCGGCCATGAATCCTCAGGTTACAGTCATCAAACTTCTTTTAGCCCAAGGGCCAGATCAGTTCCAGGGACTCCTAGTGGCAAGTGAGTCAAAGACAGAAGGTCCAGGCCAAAACTACCAGCATCTTGTCATGTAGAGCTTTTTACTGCCCGTGATCAAGACTGGAGGGGTGTTTCAACTTTTTAGAAAGGGGAATCATCTGCACCAAGGCAGAGAAACCATCAAATTAGCAGTGGGGGAGAAGGGCGGGGCCACAGGAAGGGGGTGTGGCCATCCAGGGAATCCCAGAGTGATGGATTAGGACCACAGATGGGCTTTACACTCCTGATGGAGAGTCTTCGAGGATTGTGGCTGCATTGCCTCTTCCTCAGGTCCTTTTTGGAGGGTTCTTTTTGCCTTGTTCTGTTTTGTTGTCATATAATTGCCACATAGGGACTGCAGGTGGCGCAGTGGTTTAAACCGCTGTGCTGCTGGGCTGGTAGATCGAAAGGTCACCGGTTCGAATCTGCACAACGGGGTGAGTTCCCATTGCTCCGTCCCAGCTTCAGCCAACCTTGCAGTTCGAAAGCATGCAGATGCAAGTAGATAAAAAGGCACCACTTCGGTGGGCAGGTAACAGCGTTCTGTGCACTTCATTGTTTAGTCATGCGGCCACACGACCACGGAGACTGTCTGTGGACAAACGCTGGCTCCCTCGGCTAGGAAAAGGAGGTGAGCACCACCCCCTAGAGTCAGGTATGACTGGACTTAATGTCAAGGGGAAACCTTTACCTTTACCTTTAATTGCCAGATAAGAAGCTCACTGATGAAGCCCAACAGTAACTTTTTCAAGTTTCCTGTTGCTTTCATTCTAATGTTTTGTTGAAGGTGTCCTTCAGGGCCGCTTCATTGTTGCTTTTTTAATTTTACAAATAAATATCGCATTTTCCCTGCTCCAAAGCAACTCACTCAGGGCCACAAGCATCATCTAAAAGAATTGATGAATGCAGGATAAATGCCCTCTGTAGAAAAGCTCTCTACCTCTTAACTTTGCTGGATATGTAGATTAAGTGTCACTAAGTAGTAGACTCTATTTTGAGGTGAATTATCTCCCTTGGATGGTCACTCAGGGATATGCAAGAACTTGCCATCATCCTAGTCCATGGCAAGTTTGCTGGGAATCAGCTGCTTGACCAGGAGCTAACTTGACCATAAGTTCCAGATCCACTGAAACTCAAAGGATAGCTGGGACTCAAGAGAACCCAGGCTGTTTCCTCATATCCTGCTGGGAGTCAAGGAGACATGTGGCCCTCCAATGTCGCTGGAAAGCGGTTCCCACCAGCGGTGCGGCCTGAAGGGAGTCATAGTGCAGCAACATCTGCAAGGTTGGACAGTCAGTCCCTTCTTAGATGTGTCTTCCTTCAACTCCAAATTTACAAGCTGTCTGCTCAGAAGACTTTTATTTTTCAGTCTTTGTGAATCAGGAATAAAGAGGCTGGGGTGAGAGACACCCTTTCTAAAGAGGTTCTACTCATGTATTTCTCTCCCACCTTCCACCCACGGTGCTGTTTGTGCAACAGAAAGATGCAGCAGCAGCACCTCAATTAACATGCTTCATTGTTGTGCTGTCTGGGCTATTAGGGTGGTATATAAATGCAAATAACAAATGTATATCGCTCTTTCTACACACCAACTATATGCTGTTCTTTTCCTTGGGGTAAAAATGCCACAACTGCACTATAGCAATTGGGATGCGTGTGCCAAGGAATACTGTACATGTGCACGTACAACGCTATGCCACAGATCATGCACACGCCCACTCTAAGACGTGCCGTGTCCTGCTTCTTTGCAGAGATCCAGGACTGGTGGCCAGTCCTTGGGCAGCATGTGTGTGATGGCAGACCAAACAGACGTTCTCCTCTGAGCTGTGACCAGGCTCATGCACATTAGCTGCCACATGTCAATGAAGGCAGGGCAGAGGAGAAAAGAGCAGGAGACGGCCAAGAGCTGCTGTTTCAACAGCAGCAGGTGAATATGCTCTTCTTTTGAGCGCAGGTGAATTATAGCCATCAAGAGGAAGGGACAGGGTGCGAGTGGGCCACCAAATGTGTCAGTCTGCAGTTCTGAGGATCCTTTGCCATTGGCGAAGCTAACCGGAGAAACAGAGAAACAGAGCAAGTCAGAAGGGGCCTCCCGGGCCATCTAGTCTGACCTCCGGCACCAGCCAGCTCCGCTCACAACATGCTCACCATGTGCATGATAGAAGATAGATATCAGCCAAGGCTGATACAAGTTGTAGACCTCTGATCTGGGGCAAACAGAACATCTGAGGTGGACCAGAGTTGTATGGTGGTACCCCTGAGTTGATGTAGGTCTTGGTAGGTGGGAAAGAGGGTCCACCAGGCTGACAAAAGCATGTATCCAAATTGGGGAGGAGAATGGAGAGGGCAAAGAGATCCCCCATCCAGTACAGGAGTGGCAAGACAACACAAGCGTGATTATTCATTTATTGCATAAGCAGTTGAAGCAATACAAATTCAGGACAACATGCTGAAGTTTCTAGTAAAGGAAATGGGTTTTGAATAAATGTATTAAAACTTGTACAATCCTCTAATCCCCACATCCGTTGCTTGCTTTATACTGGAAATGCCCCGTTTTATTTGATGTCACTGTCCATCTTCGGATAATAGAGCAGCACATGGTGAAGAGGTTGCGACTGCTGTGTTGTTCCAAGGCGTTCCTGCACAGCTGCAGGATTGCGCATATTCTCTCAACACACCCTTCCCTGACTTTCTCCTTCCAACATTCGCATGTTTGTAGGCCTTATTGTTCGCCACTGTATATGAGGCACACACACAAACACAGGAGATTGTCTGTTGCCTGTTGCGGTTTGCACAGTCACATAACAAAGCATGCACATTTGGGCTTTAATAGCGTAGCAAGCAGGTGTAATGGAGTGAGGAGGTCACTGGCAGGATCAGGGCTGCCTCTGGCACCAGGAAGCCTCTAGAAACAGCAAAAGCCCCTCTAATGAATGTTGACCCTGCAAAATAAAGAATCCAATTTTGCCCTGCGGTCCATTTAATGCAGGGAATTCATGGATCTATCATCTTATACCTGTATGTATGCATACGATCAAAACCAAAATTGGGATATGTGGATTTGGCAGCATTTATATTGCAAACTGTGAAGAAGGGAGGGGGAAAGATCCCTGTAATTTGCTGATTTTGAAAGAAAAACAAGGTCTCCACAGGCGTTGCTGCCTGGCTTCTTCAGCTGCAGATGCTCAGCAAAGTTGATGATTCTCGATCAAAAGTTTTTACAAACGTACATTAGAGCACAGCAACAGAGAGCCACTACACCTGCACGAATCAGTGGAAATTTAACTGCATGAGAAAGCCACAGCAGGTGACCAGCTGTAACTATAAGTTTATCCTGGAATTGTAAAATGTCCTTAGTTTTGACAAGAATTAAGGTGCTTAATTTGGTGCATTCATGCACTAAAAAAGCATGGAAACGGTTCATTACAACGCCTGCCTTCCACATGATGCGAATGTTCAACGTGCTTTCTGGTTGTGCCAACATACAAGCAGACACACACCCGTCAGGCACCTTCATTGTCTGCCTCGAGTCACATGATAGTCACATGATAGTCACTGTTCAGTACTGGTGACCAAGGGTTTTGCGCTCCTGCGGTAACTGAAGCAGGAGAGCAAAAGTGCAGCCACGGGGAGGGGGGACACGTCATTCAAAATGCCTGACTTGCATTGCAGGGATGAGATCTGGGGCATGGGGTGGAGAGAATGGGGTAATTGGCCAGAGCTTGTGGACACCTGCAAGGCAGGTGGTGTTTCTGGATGGGATAAACCTACCAAACGTTTTGCTTTCCAGCCTGTCAAAGAAGC